TTGCTTCTTTAAAAATGGAGGGTTACACTCAATTACAGCCCCTTGAGAAATAACACAATTTTAGATTTAAATATTGTCTGAAATATAGTTTCCCCTTCCTGGCTTTCATGTTTTGAAAATAAAATTAGATTGTTGAGAAGAAAATTAGTAAAACCTCAAGAATGCAAATTCTTAACAGTTGTTCTTTTAAAAGAGTTGAGGTAGAAACTGTTGGTGAAGAAGGGGGTATAGGCTGAAAGATAATCACTTTAGCTCTTGATCGCGACCCATGAAAGTCATATCTGATGTTCCTGTCTCGAGAAACTGATTTACAACTTTGTCAAATTTATACGAAAATTAATATATATACAATTTTGTATAAAAGTAGTGGGTTTAAAAAGATCAAATTCAGAAAATATGCAACCAATCTGAAACGATGATATCCCAGAGATAGCTAATTGTAACTTAGGTTTACTCCAATTCTAATTTTATATTTGTTATTTCTATTTTTTATAGATTTAATTCATAATATTATTTATACGTCCATATTGCTTGACCAGAAACTCCACCAATGGCAGTGCAGTAAAGTGGTCACGTGATACAGGCGGAGACACGTATAATCTTAACACAGTTTTATATCAATTTCTCGAGACAGGAACATCAGATAAAACTTTCATGGGTCGCGATCAAGAGCTAAAGTGATTAGCTTTCAGCCTATACCCCCTTTCATTTTTCCTTTACAGTCCCTTTAACTCGTGATCAACAGCGGAAACTTGAAATTATAAGGTCTAAAATTTGCAAAAAAAATGTTATCTCTAAAATCATCTGGTTATTTTCTTTACATTGATATTTTCCAAAGTGCCTGATCGGGATCCCGATACTGGGTTTCAGTACGATTCTCTGTCTAAAATTTTGGGCTCTGATTGCAAAGAGACTAAAATCACATGTATTGTGATGTTGTCAATATTTCTCATATTCTACTTACAAAAGCATAATATTAGATAATATGAAAATATATAGAAATAGCTTGATATATTCTTGGTTAACAATACATTTGGGTGATTTATAGCCTTATTCAATTAATAATGTTCCTGCTCACACACCTTGACCTTTTTCATTATCTAAATTTATATATATATAAAGTAGTAATCTTTTTTTTGGTTGTTTGTATTTCCGATCATAACTCAGGAACTGATTTGCTTCAAGTTTTATTGGGGAACTCAGTAGAACCACGGGAATATAGCTTGATTTTAAGATTCTAAGTTTAATGGGTCCACTTTTATCGGGAAAAATAGCTAAAATCATAATTTACGACAAAGCGTGGGCAAACGGTGGGGACTTAAGCTAGTATATATAAAGTAGTAATCTCTGTTTCTTTGTTCGTATGTCCGACCATAAATCAGAAACCCCAACCCCGATTTGCCTCAAATTTTGATCGTAGAACTCTGCAGAACCACGGTAGTGTTTTTTTGAATAGGTTGACTTTTGTAAAAAAAAAATTCAAGGCAAAACTTGGTTTCCAAGCAACTGTTTCCATATAATAATAAAGCATTCCGCAAAATATACATTGGGATTGGACCCATCAATATACACTGGGATTTGGGACCCATTAATATACATTGGGATTTGAGACCCATCAATATACATTGGGATTTGAGACCCATCAATATACTTTGGGATTAGGGACCCATCAATATACATTGGATTTGGGACCCATAAATATACATTGGGATTTGGGACCAATAAATATACATTGGGGTTTGGGACTCATTACACTGGAGACAAAAAAGACGATTGTTAGACTCAAGTTATAATTTTAAAATTGTTCATTGAACATAAAACAAAGCAACTGAGCAGTGTACGGTAGTAGGCGATTATAGCAATATAATGAAGACGACTTTTATATAAGTTTGAATTGTTGACAAGTTTTTTTCGAATCGAAGTTTACAAGCAATTGATGAAAAGCTTTTTTAATTGACAGCTTCTTTCTCTTTCCATTTTTTGTGTATCCTTGCTGTTTAAAAGCTTGATAAAAATCAAAATTAAAATTAAAAGTTGTCTTCATTATATTGATAAAATCGCCTGCCACCGTACAAAACCCCAGTTTACTTAATAAGTTGATTTGTAGGGCCCTAAAATGATTTTTAAAACTGTTTGCGTTTTAACTTAATGTATAGATCAAATACACATACGATTGATAAATTTCGACTTCCTTTTAAACAGTTTCCCGTTGGCAACTATAGTTATTTTACTAAGTGTAAATTCAACTTTACTTCAAAATTAATTTAACTTAATAATTAAACATTTTAACAGCTGAGTGCTAATTAATTAATTCAGAAAATACTTTAAATTGAAAATTTCAACTCTACTTAAAACTTTAAGCTTTGAATTTATCTATTTTTTAGATTTTCAGATTTTTAATTACAAAAGGTTTTAATCTAAATTTAAAAAATTTGTAGAAATGCTTCTTTATAACCTTTCGCTTCTCGCTCTTTTTTGTTCTTGATTCAATCTGAAAGTTGAAATTCAATTTCATGGATATGATCAGTTCCTTTGATCTGATCTGATGCATAGTATTCAGAAAAAGATCGGATATTTTATTTAAGTCATATTTCATATAAAAACATCGATTCTGTGGAAGAAGAGAACTAGTTATTCAAAATACTACTACTAATACTAGTGAGCATGTTAGAACCTAGCTACCTTACTTTTAGTTTAAACTAGTGAGCACGTTAAAGAATCTAGCTACCTGAATTTTAGTTTAAACTAGTGAGGACGTTAAATAATCGAAATACCTGACTTCTAGATTAAACTAGTGAGCACGTTAAAGAACCTAGCTACTTTACTTTTAGTTTAAACTAGCGAGCACGGCAAAGAACCAAGCTATTTTACTTTAAAATTAATCTAGTTTGGATGTTATAGGATCTAGCTACTTTACTTTTAGTTTAAACTAGTGAGCACGGCAAAGAACCTAGCTACTTTACTTTAAGTTTAATATAGTGAGGATGTTTAAGAACCTATAGCTACCTTACTTTTAGTTTTAACTAGCGAGCATGGTAAAGAATCTAGCTACCTGACTTCTAGCTTAAACTAGCGAGCATGTTAAAAATCTAGCTACCTGACTTTTAGATTAAACTAGGGAGCACGTTAAAGAATCTAACTACCTTACATTTTGTTTACTACTGTGCACGTTAAAGAACCTATAGCTATCTAACTTTTTGTTTCAATTAGTGAGGACGTTGAAAAACCTCGCTACCTTACTTTTAGTTTAAACTATTGAGCACGGTAAAGAATCTAGCTACTTGTCTTTTAGATTAAACTAGTGAGGACGGTAAAGAATCTAGCTACCTGACTTTTAGATTAAACTGGTGAGGACGGTAAAGAATCTAGCTACCTGACTTTTAGATTAATAATTTGAAAAAAACTCATTCTGAAAGCGTATCCACCCCCAAATCAGGAGTTTTGAACGTCGAATTTGCGCTCAAACTCAGGATTTACAGATTTTAAAAATATGTCTCAAATGAATCCTAAAGAAGTTTTCCACAACACTGCGTCCTCAGTTCAACTACCTTACATAGCCGGTCACTCCCTTTAAACTAGTGTTCTGTTTATATAAGATTAAAAAAAGCTTGTAAAATGATTTTAGAACTTAAAACTTTCTTAAGTTAGAAACTCGTTAGTTTACAAATATTTCATGCAAAATTAAATTAAAATTGAATAAAAATATGATGGAATATGATATTTAGTACGTAAGAAAAGACTGACTTCAAACAAATATTAAATTAATTCCATTAAGAGACTTTAGAGTGTCAACTTTATGGAATTTAACTAATATTTTTATTTCACTACACTATAAAGTTGTTCGCGACCTTTTAAAAACTTAAAATGTCGCTGATTGTTTTGATTTCATTGGCAGGTTTCAAAGTTTTCAGTTCTATTTCTCGAATTTGTGAATTGTCTTGTTAGGTATTTAGTATTTTAATATTTGATATTGTAAAACAATTATGTTATTTTGTTGCAAAAATAACATCCGATGCATTTAGGTGTTCGTAATTTTGATTTATTAGCATGTAACTTCATAGCTGTATTCTTTAACCCTGGACAATGTACAAATTATTAATAAATGCCAAAGAATGTTTTAGATAATTCCCACGTGGATCAAAGTCAATAAAAAATGTGTCACTTAATTGCAATATTTTTTGAGACACCCTAGATATTACAAATTGCAAGAAACAAAAAAAAAACGATTGAAATCAGACTCCATACTTGTATGATCTTGAATAAGGCTAGATAAAAACAAGCTAGATATATTTTATAGTTTTAGTTAATCAATGTTTGTACTAGGGTACCCACCAAGATTGGGATTTTGATAACGACCCGCAAACCCTTAAAACGAAACCTACTGAAGAACAAATGTATTCTTATGTTTTGAATATGGCATGCAAATGGTGAACTTAATGATTTGGCAAGGAAAGAATCAAGTGGAAAGTGAGAGGGAATGAATGAAAGAAAATCTATTCATAATAAAGCTCTTCGCTCATTATGTTATCTTATTTCTTGCCAAACGGCTGGACAAAATTGGCTGATTTTTTTTGAAACCCATGGGTACCCTTAGGTTTAAATAAGCTAAACAAAATTCGAAATTTTTTTCTGTCAAAACTAGAATTTTTTAATATTCCTCGGGAAACAAAGGGTCACTGGTCAGCTGGTCACTCTGGGCCGTAGTAAATTTGAATTCGAACAGGACATGCCCAGTTTGTACCGGCCTGCCAGATAACAGCGTGTACTGCATGACCCGATCCTATGGTACAGTACGTCGCCCTAACCAGACTGACATGCGACAGGGGTCAATTTTCTTGGCATAGTCCCGTCGGAGGGCTAACTATGACAACTCCCATGGCGCGTTCAGACTTTTTACAGTACCCGGCCTAATCCATAGGCCTATTTGGCCGACCCCACTGGCTTAGCCCACCGTGTGGGGTATATTAAAATAGGTTGAAAACTCTTTAAGCTGTACGTACCTCATGAGATGAATTAGGTTTGGTTCCTTGTACCCCAGGAAACTGACGAAGGTTTCACTCTTCATATCCGGGAAAGTGATCTCTACTGAGGTCCGAGTAAGACGACATGGATGATCCTCAGATGGAGGTTTCTGTATTTCCTCCTGCAACAATTGAATATTATTAAAGGGACTGCTAGCGCAATTTCAAGTGACCCTCCATGCAAAGATGGCAATGCCAGATTTACAACAGTACCCTTGAAACCTTTAAACAGAGATCTCTCATTTTATATCTCTCAAATATTGCTCGAATTCCTGTAAATACGGAGTGTAGATTAATAAAAATAAATAATTCTTGAGCATTCAAAAGTCTTAATGAATACCGTTTTGAACTAGACACCCCACTCTATAAACAGAGCTAGAGGGTTGTTTGAAATTATTCCCATGTAGTCCCTTCAAGGGTTGATCGATTTTTAACTTTTTTATAGAATTGGATGTCATTGACAACATGTAAGTTGTTCGCTAATGGAACTGAGTTTTTGCCACAAACTCAAATTTTCTTTGCAACCAGACGGTGTAAACCTTTGATATTTCAAACTTAGACCATGTATGATCAAATATAATTCTAAGTTTAAAGTATCAAAGGTCTACACTATCGGGTTGCAAAAATATAGAGGTTAGAAAATCAGAGTTTGTGGCAAAAGTAATAAGGCTACTAGGCAAGAAAAAAGAAATTAAAAATTGTTTCATCTTTGGTTAAAAATGTTTTAGGACTCTTGTATTTATACAACTGCTTTAAAAGTCTTTTTTTTATGAACAATATATTTTCTTAGGATTTATTTTTATTCCCTTTTATACGTTTCTTGAATTTAGATGTAAAACAAACGGGAAAAAATAGAATCAATTCAATTACAGTAAACAATTTACTGCCTTAATGTTAGAGTAGTTTTCCTTGGGTTTCAATCTAAAAATTGTTGAATTCTGTTCATTTCCTGCTTGTCTAATGCAAATATATTAAAAATATAAAAATATATAATATATATATATATATATATATATATATAAAAATATTTTCCGTAGGTCAAATAACGATTTCTCATTCATTAAACGGAATGCAACAATTGACAAAGATTTTCCAGAATATGGCGAGTTTTCTTTAAAAAGCAAAAAACTAACAATAATAAATGAAATATCAGGTTTTAGCCTAAACCCCCTTTAATTTTTCCTTTACATTCCCTTCAGTCAATTTTTATTCGAAAAAACTGTTAAAAATAAAACTGTCAATCAGAATGAAATAACTTTCTGTCTGCAGGATTTTTCTTGAAAAAGAAAAAAAAATATTTTATTTCCAGGTTAGATGTTTTCAAGGAACTGAACAGTTGTCACAAATTCTCATTTTCTAATTTTCATATCTTTGTAACCTGATGTCATGGATCTTTGATTTCTGCTATATATCAATTAGTTGTGCTTTGAAATATCAAATATTAGGTTGCAAAGATAAAAATATTATTAAAATAAAGTTAATAGAACGAGCCTTGTATAGTATTCAACGTTTAATTATGTCTTGTACGATCTTTTTTTTATAGATAAATTGTTTTAAAAGTAATTGGCAACAATATTTTCTTAAATATATGAGGAATATTTCTAAACAATATTTTCTTATTTGTTGAAGTGAATATGTAAGGAATATTGCTAAATAAACAATATTTTCTTATTTGTTGACGGGAATATATGAGGAATATTGCTAAATAAACAATATTTTCTTATTTGTTGGCGGGAATATATGAGGAATATTGCTAAATAAACAATATTTTCTTATTTGTTGGCGGGAATATATGAGGAATATTACTAAACAATATTTTCTTATTTGTTGAAGGGAATATATGAGGAATATTGCTAAACAATATTTTCTTATTTGTTGACGGGAATATATGAGGAATATTGCTAAACAATATTTTCTTATTTGTTGACGGTAATATATGAGGAACATTGCTAAACAATATTTTCTTATTTGTTGACGGGAATATACAAGGAATATTACTAAACAATATTTTCTTATTTTTTGAAGGGAATATATGAGGAACATTGCAAAACAATATTTTCTTATTTGTTGACGGGAATATATGAGGAATATTACTAAACAATATTTTCTTATTTGTTGACGGGAATATATGAGGAATATTGCTAAACAATATTTTCTTCTTTGTTATCGTGAAAATAGGAGCAATATTGCTAAACAATATTTTCTTATTTGTTGACGGGAATATATGAGGAATATTGCTAAACAATATTTTCTTCTTTGTTATCGTGAAAATAGGAGCAATATTGCTAAACAATATTTTCTTATTTGTTGACGGGAATATATGAGGAATGTTGCTAAACAATATTTTCTTATTAGTTGACTGGAATATATGAGGAATATTGCTAAACAATATTTTCTTATTAGTTGACTGGAATATAAGAGGAATATTACTAAACAATATTTTCTTATTTGTTGACTGGAATATATGAGGAATATTGCTAAACAATATTTTCTTATTTGTTGACGGGAATATATGAGGAATATTTCTAAACAATATTTTATTATTTGTTATCGTGAAAATAGAAGAAATATTGCAATAGAGAGAATTCTTTTCTAGCATTTTTTTAGAAATAACTTAATATTTAAATTTCTAACATACTGAGCTAAACCCCTTGGCTCCTAATATTCACTCCATCTTATTTAAACTTAAGGATTAATTTAATTCCTCGTTGAATGATATCCCGGGCTTTTCACTCATATCCTTCAGACTCAGAGTTACTTTTAATTGAGATATTAAAGATTGATTCTCAAATTTTAAAAAAAATACCCACGTTGAATATCGAGTTCAAGTGTTCAAAATTAACAGTTTCCACATTAAGGTTCGATCTTGAACAGTTGTGCAGATATGTTTAAGCAGTTCAACTATCTCCCGTTATTTACTAAATCTGGTTCTTGGGATTGAATCTTATAAAGGAATTGATTCTTTGCCACAAACTCTGATTTTCTAATCCCTATGTCTTTAAAACCCAATGTGTTAGACCTATAGATATTTCAAACTATGAATTCTGTCAAATCAAATAATCTAAGTTTGAAATATCAAAGGTTCACACTAATCAGGTTGTAAAAATATTGATATTAAAAAAAGTGAGTTTGTGGCAAAGATTCAAGTCCTTTGAGATAAGCTACCTAAACTAAACTACCTCTAGCCGGTTCAACTCCTGTATAACTGATTCAAAGTTAAAAATTCTTGAGGATTTGAAACGGTGATTCAGGATTTGAACCGCCGGTAAGCAGTTAAGCGACTTTTCCTATAAAAGGCTTGAATTAGAGTTAACAATAACAGTATAACAGCGTGAAGAATTGCATTACAAAATAAATACATTATTATAATTATATTTATAATGAACTTGTTAGTGTACCAACTTATCTATACATTGAATATCTATCTAGTTGCATTGTTAGGCCTGCTGCTGCATTGTTAATGTAATTACTATTTCATACAAAATATATAAACAGAGAGGACAGGACTAAAACCAAAAGTTCTGACGCAATGAATATTGAATAGACCCATTTATGTAAACGGTTGTTTTTAAAGGGACTGTAAGGGTAATTTCCTTTCATGACCTTTCATGTAAAGAGAGACATCCCCCAATTTACAAATGCAAGCTTGAAAGCTTGAAACCTTTTACTGATCAAGGATGACAAACTTTTCCTTATTTATCTTCAAAAACGGTTGTAATTGCATAAACACTTTGTTTGCATTCTGGTTTATATTAAAGGAATATTAATTCTCACTTTCTCTAGAATATAAATAGAATTTTCTAGAATACATGTGACGACATTCCTTCACACTGTACGGTAGCGTACACTCCAAATTTGCAGTTTTTTTTTTACAGCAAGTACGGTACGATATATACGCTGAGTTCTCTGTCCTCGATTTTATGTTAGTTTTTAAAAACTTCAGTTTGTTAACGGAAAGGGTTACATAATTTCTAATGCAATATTTGGGAAATGTTCATTCTAAAGATTGTCTATAACGCCCAAAAATTGTTCAATTTTTGTTTCTAATGTATAATAATATTTGAGATTTGTATGTAAACTCTTCCTTTAATTGATTAGACTTTCACTTGTAATAGTGTAAATCGTACATTGTGTATTCAAGGGGGGAGATAAATTACTTTATGAAATAGTTGGAAGTTTTATCAATAAAAAAAGGAGATACGATCTGTAATTTAGGGCTGCAATTGCAAATATCAACTTTATAATCTTTCTTTTTCTTCAAACTTTTTCGCCCATTTGGGAAAACTTATCCGGAAGAATTTTAATTTTGAATAATTTGCTTAAACATTTTGCACAAAGTTAAGAGGACTCTTGATAATTGAACTAATTTCAAATTCGTTCAGTTCACAAACTAGCTCTTATTCTAATAAGATTAGAAATGACGCTCATGTAACTTATCATTGGATTAATTAATTTATATATAGACTTTGCTTATTGTATCCAATAAACGTCAAAACGGCTGAACCGATCCGACGCAAATTAGTCGTGGGACCTCAAAATTTCTAAAATTAACCTCCTACAAATTTCGATTGTCAATAGATTTTGAAAATCTACGAACCACAATTTTTTTTATACAATGTATAAAAGAGAAAATGTTCACAATGTCCTGCTTCTGAACACAAAATAATGGGCAAACAAAAAATTCCGACCATAATAATTGCAGTTTTTTGTCTAGATTTTGTCGCCTTTCGTGAAGTATTGACTTTTATTTTGCTGGTTAAAAATGCCCAAAAATGTGAAGCTATATAAACTTTAATGAAAAGTTGATAATGATCTATTGTGGAAGACAATGCCTGGCCGCCTTAAACAAGTTCCACAAGATTCAACGGAATGAGATAGAACGAATACGGGGCATTGTACTGACGGACAGTCTAACACGTGTGATATTGATATAGACTCATGTTCTGAACCCTCTAGTAATAAGTTATAAGAAATATATAGATACTGGAAGTACTTTATGCGTTTTTATTAGAGTCTGACTCACGTCCTCTATACTATCAATTAATATAAATAAATTTTTTGAATAAGATTTAACACTATTCAACATGAAAAAGAAAATCCAGGAAACTTTAAAAAAAGTCAAAGTAAAACCACGAAATTGTTTTTCTGTTTTAGAAAATTACCAATATATGAAACCTGAGATGGATGTTTTCAAAATCCTTTAATCGATAATTCTTATCCCCTACATTAGACAAATATCTGAACAATCTTTTTAATGATTCAAGGGAGAATAGATTTTCATCCTACAGGGCTACTGAGAAAACGTAATGGTTTAAGAAATTCTTCATTTAAATAGATTTTATTTATTTTGTTTATAAAGAAGGATATTCACAACGGTACCTTAGAAACTGATTTGAGTATTAAACATGTGGAAAATAACATCGTTTTTCTAGCTTGTAAAGTGTTAATTCTGATAACCTCTCCTTTGTTACTGAAGCAGAAATGCGCATGTCACTTTGGAGAGAAAGCTCAATAAAATAATCAGTTTTCAAAATATGGATATTTGATACTTTATCAGTCAACGCTTTTACTGGTGCTGTTGTGAATTGGATAATCGGATTAATGAATGGAAGTTCAATTGAAATTATGTCTACAAACCCTTTTAAGACCAGACAAAAAGAGAATATGCAGTATACTACATTTGGTTGTATCTGAATCATGAATATTAGAATATAATAACTCTTTATCACTGCTTCACAATATTTGGAATTTATCGCTTTTACTGAACAGGAGTTCATAGTAATACACAAGCTAATTAGGTTTTAAAGGGACTGTACGCGTAATTTTAAGTCACTCTCCAGGAATATAATGCAATGCCCGATTCACAACGGTACCCTTGAAACCTTTGTCTAATCACAATAATGTGGAAGATATTGTCATTTTTCTTGGTTGAAAAGAATTTTATTCTGATAATTTTTATATGTTTTCCTGCAGTAAAATGTGCAAACAAATTCAGATTTTCTTATCCGTATATCTTTGCAACCCAAATTGGAAGACTTTAGATATTTCAAACTATGCATCCTACCAGATAAAATAATCTAAGTTTCAAATATCAAATGTTTACACCATTTAGTTGCAAAGCTATAAAGATTAGTAATTTTGATTTTGTGGCTTAGATTCAATTCCTTTGTGAAGAAACCATAGTTTAAGATAATTATAAACTTTCATATCCATGCATTTCATACTTGATTGAGAAACGGCTTTAAAGGGTACCATTGAAAATCGGGCATTGTTTAAAAAAGGCATAACTTTTTTGTAATTGAAATTTAAAAATATATATTTCAATTTGAAATATCTAATTTAATTAACATTGCGTTTTAACTACTTCTTAAACCTTTCATGCTTCTATTAAACTTATTGTTTGTATTTAATATTATGTAGAATATAACTGTTGTGTTTATTTATGGAAATATCTAATAAAAGGAATTGAGTCTTCAAAAACAAAGTCAATCCCTATATCTCTGCAATCCCTAAAAACATAAATATTTAAAACTATAAATTTTGTTAGATCATATAATTTAACTTTGAAATGTCAAAGGTACATCAGGTTGAAAAGAAAAAGGGATTAGAAAATTGAAGTTTGTGGCAAAGATTCAGTTCCTGTTCGAAAATTTGCCTGTTTGACCTTTATGCAATAAATATGTTCCATCTTTGCAGTGCAAATATAACGTCTATAAAAAATAACACCTTCAAAAATTAAACATCTAGAAAAATAACTTACACAATATAACCTTGTTTTGTTCAAAATAAAGCTACGAAAAATATAACTGACCAAAAAAATGTATAAATATTACTAAAATTAAACTAAAATATTACAATTGCTCCAGATTTTAGGAAAATCTGCAAGCCGATTATTAACAAATCCGCGGGTTTTCCCAGCAATGTATAATATGAGTGACACCCTATTTCTAGTATAAATATTAAATATAACATTAATGTTATTAACCTTGGTTGTATATTTTCCTTTGTTCCCCATCAGAAGATTCTTTTTATGCCTTAATCTTTGTTCTGCTTCCGTTTCTTTCACCTTTATATCATCATCACATCTCACTGAAATAATAGGAAACATTGAGATTATACTCTAGGAGAAGAGTAATGGTACAACTATGTGACCTCTTATCTCCTCTATTTTTGGATTTTACGCACGAGTATGAGAAAACAAAATGTATCCGGTTACATATAAAAAATTCAAAACAATTCTGGTTTTCCTTAAAGCTCTTCAATAACACTTTTAATTTTAATTCATGTATAATAAAGTAACGGGATAGATAGTCTTTATATAAAAGTACGTCTGTGAAATATAAAACCCCATAGAAAAAAGTCCAAAACCAATTTAATTATTTTGAAAATAAGTGAAAGGAAATAATGTTATTTACAATTTTTTTGTCAGGATATCGTACTGAACCACCAAAAGCAAAATGAAAAATTATCAGAAAAAAAAACATAGTAGTAAAAAGAAGTCCTTAAATACTATCTTTAAATTCATGTCGGAAAATTTTTCACTCCTTTCGGTGGTCAGTACGTGTACGGTGTACAATGTACATCTATCTATGACTTTTTCCCCTGCAACTATTATGTATGAAATTCAGAAATCATGGCCTCCAGGGAAAAAAAGTCATGACTTTATTCCCTTCAAACTTTTGCAGTACACAATTATATGACTTATTTACTTAAAACAGTTTGGTAGCGAAAATTAGATTTAAAAAAATACTTTTTTTGTGAATTAAATGGAGTGCACCTTAAACTAAGGTTTTGGTGCGTACTGCACTAATATCTGAATTAAATGGAGTGCACCTTAAACTAAGGTTTTGGAGCGTACTGCACTAATATCTGACCGAGTGAGATGTTTCCGCAAATTCTGTGAGAAATGTAAACAAACTCAGAACTATTGAGTTTTGTTAATACTCTTCAGAAAAAAACCATCTTGGTTTACAATTTTTGTTATAGTTTTGAAAAACTTTCTCTTTATTTTATAAACAGCTTGGCTTGGGAACCCAACTTTGACTGGAAACTAAACTAAAAAAGTCAATCCATTCAAATAAGAAATTCTTAACCAATCTCAGACCATTTCTGTTCCCATTTTTGTCAGAACATTTCTGTTCCCATTTTTGTGAGAACATTTCTGTTCCCATTTTTGTCAGAACATTTCTGTTCCTCAATAAAAATTTGAGATAGTCGGTCAAAGCGTTAATTAGTTATGATCTGAAATACAAATATCTAAACAAACAGCTGATTACTACTTTTTAATATAGAAAATTTTATCTTATTCGATACAGAATTGTGATGAAAATCCCCATATTATTGTTGCAAACAAATGTTAGCATAGCTATAAGCGTTAAGAGAGAAATGAAGCATACTTAATATACAGTGGGGTGTAAATTGTTCTGTATTACAGTGTATCAAAGATTATTACTGGAAAAAACACATAATTTATACACTGATTAAAAATCATATATTCTGTAGACCTAATTTCTAGTAATTGTCCAGTCTTAGAATGGCATGTCTGATTAACAAAGGCACCCCTGAACCCTATCACGGCAGGGCTTTTTTGTCTCAAATAGGCGGATTGGGGGTGTTTTCCCCCCCCCCCCCCCCACTATGATTTTGGCCTTAAAGTTTGTTGAGTTAGAGGAATATGATACATGTCCTTATGTCCAACTTTTATGGTTAAGGTACAAATGAAGATTAAAAATAGTTAAAAAAGTATACCGGAAAAATGTTCAAAAATTATATTTTTTTTGACAAATATTAAGATGTGACACACGCTATTACATCCATTTTTTAAGGACTTTTCAAATATATAAATTTTTAGCGAAATTTGTTCACAATTATAATGTCAAAAAAGTGAAGAAGTTTCTAATGCAAGCCGTTTTTAAGTTATTTAGAAAAACCACAGGGGGCTGTGTGTGGAAAACACCCCCCCCCCACTCCCAGCCGTGATAGTGTTAAAACATTTTTTTCTGTCTAAATGGATGAATGAGATAGTTTCATTGAAAATTGACTCTATTTTCAATATTGAGTTCACCACAGAAGTGACCTGCGGAGACAATGAAGGAATTTGTCAAAATTTAATACGTTCAATATTTAAGCGTGATGTACCTCTAAAAAGTTCACACACCCTCACTAATTTTGATATTTTGTTCTATTTGATATATATATATATATATATATATATATATATATAATATATGATACTTGTTAATTTACATTTTATTCCTTTGAATTACAAATTATAAAGAATCATCTTAGGAATTAAATTTTCAAAAGTTTTTGGAAACTTTAGTCAATCTTATCTGTGCTGCAGGGTACTTCAAACCCTGATTATGCAGTTTAAACTTATTTTTAGAATCTGGAAGATATTTAGCAAATTTGCAAAAACCTAACGTCATTTTAAGTTTTATATTTTAGTATCTCACAAATTGATGAATATCGTTTGCTAATATTATTAATAAATTGCAACCGTATGGGTATGATAAATTTGATAAACATCATCATCTATAAATGTAAGATTGGTTGGTTGTGTGCGTGCACATTTTTCCACAAAGAGTTAATTCATAATTACAAAATTAGTTTTTTTTCCCCTCATTTATCTTCTTTCCTGACTATAAGCTTAAAGGGAATGCTTTCTAAATTTCAAGCCACCCTTCATTTAAAGAGAGTGCACACCCAATTTACAAAATTACCCCTGAATCCTTCATCTACACAATAACATTGAAAAGTGTTTAATTCTGAGAATTTCTTCGTTGTTTCAGAATCGAGAAATACATTAGTTACTTTTTAGTTTCTTTGATATCTAGTTCACACTTGATAAAAACTCACCTCTAAGGGTACCGTCGTGAATTGGAAATGCCAGTCTTTCAATGGAAAGTGACTTGGAGTCCCGTTAAAAGGCCCTTTAAAGGGGATGTTTACTTGTTTGCAAATACAATTGATTATTCTTGGAGAATCTGGAGGAAAACTAAGTCTGTATTAAGCCTTGTTAAACACTTTTAAGTCCTATTTTTCCCAAATAATTAGATATTTTTATTTTTTACTTGAATATGTATTTTGAAAAACTAGATCAGTCCCTTTATTAAGAGAAATTAGTTTTAATTAAGTTAACGTGTATAATGTATCCTATATATCCTTACAGTATTATTATGCTTATGGTTGTTTAGGGTTAGATTAAGGTGGAGCATTAGTTCTTTCTTTAAGCAGTAAAAAGGCTGGGACTGGAAGGGGTTGGAGGGTTGTTGCCCTCTCCCCAATACACCCCTTCTATTTTATTTCTTTACATTTTTGACGAGTAATATCACCTTGAAACTTTTTTCCTTTTAAAGGGACAGACCGGCTATGTAAGGTAGTTAAGTTGAGTATGCAGTGTTGTGGACAAATTCTTTCGGATTCATTTAAAACATATAAAACTTTTTTAATATCTGTAAATCTTGAGTTTGAGCGCAAAGTCGACGTTCAAAATAGCACCTTTGGGTGGATACGTTTTCAGATTTTTAAATTTAAAATTATTAAATAACGAAGACAAAAAATGAAAACAAAATTCTACAGTAAACAAATGACAGGTTGAGAAAATAAAAATTAACTCTAGTTATCCAAAATAAGTAGTCTTATTCAATTATTAGTTTCCATAATCTCTCTTTAATCACAAAGACTTTCTGCAGATTTTTCTGGATTTTTTATTGAAAAGACGACATTTGAAGAATTTAAAGAAATCTGTGAACAAATTAATAGAAAATAAGAAATTCAATATAATGATGAAAAAGGAAATAATTAATTATAACTTCGATTTATTGACAAAGGAATTGAGTTTTTGCCACAAACTTAGATATTTTAAACTATGACTTCTGTTATATCAAACAATATAAGTTTGAAATATCAAAGGTTTACATAATTTGGTTGTAGAAATAAAGGTATTAGAAAATTGGGATTTGTGGCAAAGACTCAATTCCTTTCTTTTGAGAAATATGTTTCTAAACATCTAATTAGTTTAATATAGAATACTTACTATATTTCTCTTCGTCGTTATTTAAAAATTGAAAAAAAACTATTTTAAAAACGTACCCACCAAAATTAATGATTTTTAACGTTGATTTTGCTCTCAAACTTAGTAATTATACATCGTGGAAACGTTGTATATGTTTCAAATGAATCCTAAAGAATTTGTCCACAACACTGCATTTTTGAGCTATGGATATGAAATTTATCAAGAAACTGATTCCTCGCCACAAAATCTAATTTATGTATCTCAATATCTTAGCAAACGATTTTGTCAGTTTGCAATGACATAGAAATGAAAACCCTAGCCTGTGAAAAAGAAAAATACTAATTTTTTAATTTGTTTGTTGTCAGGCAGCCTTAGATTTCAAACAAGGTCAACCATAAGCGTAATTTCATGTGACCCTCCATGCAAAGTTCAGACTGTATATATAAGTCAACACAGCGCACACTTGAATTTGCAGCTGACTAGCAAGCGGGTTTCGATAAGTTTAAACACACATATCTCTGTACTCGAAGAACACAAAAATGTGTTAAGGGTACCATTGAAAATCGGGCATTGCACTTGAAATTACGCATTTGATTATCTATTCTTTCAAACTAGCTTAAAGTTTTATGAATTTTGCACAGAGGGTCACTTGAAATTACTCATTTGATTAGCTATTCCTTTAACGTTTTATGAATTTCCTGCTGATATAATGTATAATTAAATTATGTCTAAACTTGAATTTAATAGCATGAAGACTGAAGGGGTATACCGATAATTCCGATAATCCTTTGATAAGTAGACACTAATCTTGCAATGTAACTAGATATTTCAAATTCAAATTACAGACAATTAGCTAAAGAGTAAAAGATACATCTTGTTCGGTTTTTAAAGCATTTTCAATTAATATTCATGAAAAATTTACCATTTGTTATTTTAAGAATTTAATAAAAATACATTATTTATAGACAGTAACCTTACAATGTAAGTAGATATTTCAAATTCGAATTACAGAACATTACAGGAGACTGCTAATTGGATTATTGCATCGTGATCAAAATTCATAAAAAAAATTAAGGCAGATCTTTTATTATATAGTTATAATTTCAAGTGACCCTTTCTTTATAACGATAATGGAGTTATCCTTATCATTCTAGACAAAAGGTTAATTATTTTAAATTCAATTTTTCAAAGGCACCTATCCCAGGAACAATGAAGTAAGTTTAAATAATTCAACATTGTTTAAAACAACGACCATATTGTTACTCTGTAAAGCTGTTTAAGGAGTATCGCTGTAAATCGGACATTGCACGTGAAATTGCGTGCACAGTCTCTTTAATAATTAAGAGTTTAAAAGCTTGTATTATAATGATGGTTAATATTGCATGATAGAACCCGTAATAATTTTATTAAGTTAATGAGAAAACTAGAAACATATTTTTTCCGTTTTAGCTGAAAACTTTTTTTCGAACATATATATCTAATAAATATCTAAATGTAAAATACAAATCGAGAGTGCAATATTGATCGAATAAAATAAACCCTATTTTAACGATAAAAGGATGAACACACCCTTTCACCTTTTTAGTAATTTAAGATTTACATGCTTGACTATAGTTCTTCCAAAATTCCATAAAAAAATATCATATCCTGATTTTAAAGAAGGAAAAGTAGTTGGGCAAAATTTAAAAACCTTTTCTTGACCTTAACCATTGCAGTTAATGGTCTCAAGATTTAAAAACATAGCTTTTTGGGCAAATGATCCATAACGCATGTCACACTCACATATCAATCAATGAAGTGCTATAGTGTTAACTCCAAATATGATAATATATATAATATATATATATATATAATATAATAATAATATGATACCGTACCGCAGTTTTACTTTTTACCCATTTGGGGTCCTAATAGAAAAAGATTTAGAATTTTAACGTGTGAACTATAACCAAGTAATAGTTTTATTTTCCCTTTGAAACTTTATTTTACAAATAAAAAAAGAACAATTTGTAACGAAACATAGTGTATTTTGTTGTGATGTACTGAGTATAAATATTTATTAACATTTACAAGAAATGTAACAATTTAAACTCTTTTTCAGGCTTAAAGGGAGTGAAAATACTCATACAAATAGTAAATTTTCCCATATGCATTCTCTACTCTGTGCATAGAAACCCTCTCTGTATTCGTACTACAAGGCCGTTTTTTTATGGTAGGGGGGAGGGTGATTTTGTAAAGCAAAATAAAAAGTTAAAATTTACCTATTTTTAGAATTGAAGAAAAGAATAGAAGTGTAAATACTCTAATAATCATCTTTAGAAAGTGTAGTTATTCAACCTAAAAAATTCAAAATACTTAAATTAAATTAAAGGGTAGGGTATCTAATTTTAAAAAGTATAAATAGTCAAAATACACAGCTATTGTGCAGTGTAAACAGACCCATTTAACTTTATAATTGATTTAATAAGATTTATAACTTTTTGCCGTATTTCGTTTGTAAAATTACATTGGACCTCACTCTAATATGATGATGATCAGTAATTTCTCTAAAGGTATTTTTTAAAACTGTTTAGTGCAGGTCTCAGACAACTATTGGAAACTATTTTTACATTTTATGAGAAAAAAAAGTTCTTCATATAAATTTTTTTAAAGGAAGTTAAGCGAAGGGTTTACACCTCTAACGTCACACACGTCAGAATCTAGCGTACATTTTCCTCCATTTGTCCTGACGGGACCTTGAATATCGGATGAAATATATATAAGAAAAATAATAAACAAATATCAATAATATCAGTATTGGATACATATTTCTTTATTTCTCTGAACAAATCTCTCGTTCAGTGTTTCTAATATTTCCAAGTTTATGAACAGTGCGTCCCACCTAATATGTTGAATGAGAGATGGCTTTATGATCTTTAACGGCTTTTTATTTGAGGAAAAAATGCTTATCCAAAAATGTTAGACTACTTTTAAAGGGACTGTACGCCTAATTTCAAGTGACCCTCTATAAAAACTTGGCAAGTCCCGATTTACAATGGTACCTTTAAAAGCTTGGTCGGATTAAGTATCCTTGATGCTTATTTGCGGTTCCTCTGCGAAAGCGACTTGCACATTTCAAGAAACAGTGGATTATTTGTCAGAATATGAACACTTTTAAAGTAAAAAACAATGGTATCTTCAACTTTATAATCAGATTAAGGTTTCAAAGGGTACCGTTGTGAATCAGAAAATTCAATCTTTGCATGGAGTGTCTCTTGAAATTACGCTTACAATCCCTTTCAGCTCTCTGGGATTTATCTTTTCAACATCTTAAAAAATGACAAAACATTGGAATGTGGTATTTAAGAAAAGTTGTTTTATTATAGATTTAATTCCAAACTTAGACAGTTCTTATTTCTGATTTACTGTGTAAAAAGCTACCTTGGACTCAATTTATTTTTTCAATGTTAACATGTTTGTTGACATAGTTTTTATCTTTTTAACTGACGAGTACCTGGCGTTATGATTTTCCGTTATGTTCTTCTCTATGTGATCTCTTTCTCCATCTTTAATCTTCAAAACATAATTAAAACTTGAGATGCAAATTTCTTTTTATTTCAAGTGTACTTCAGTGTTATGAATTATGTTAAAGCAAATAAAATAATTCACTAAAATGCAAGCATGCAAGGTTGTAAATTTGACCCAGTATTAAAAACTGATGCACAATTTCCGTTGCTGCCAGGATCTCTGTGAAAGTATGAATTTTTTTAAAGATAAACCGTGTTAGCTTTTACTAATATCTAACTCACTTTTACTGAACATGAGATTCAAAATTGTAAATCTTTTATATAAATCTACCAAACATCTGTGATAAATCCTTGTATCGTTCAGACAGAAGATTGCATCCAGCATGAAATACAATGATTATGGGTAAAACTTTATATAACGATTGATGTGTTTTCTTTAATACGATTGGATATTTTCTTTTTAATGTTTAAACACACTTTTCCACTCTCCAATGTTTCCAGGAAGGTTTAAGAGCTTACAACAACTTGTTATAAATATTTTATCATTTTTAATGTACAAATACTCTTCAACAGTAATATTAAAAAAACGAAAGGCATAAAGTTTTATATTTGTTGTTGACGATAGAAATGCTGATAAATATTTTATTAAACTTCTTAGTTTGAGTTATAGATTTTTATAATTTTAATCTTATTACCAGAAATAGTTAATACAGTTTTTTTTTAAATAATCATATGTTTCTTTTGGAAAATTGATTATTGGCAATTGGTGTGTTTTTGAGTGATGACAACTTTAGAATTTTTTTAGATTCAACACGTTTTAAGATTAATTAAAATATTTTTCTCAATGTTTAAAGGGTAGCATTGTGAATCGGACATGCCAACCTATAAATTATGGGTTACTTAAAATTACGTCATTGGTCCTTTTAAGAACAGAAATACTCTTCTATTTTACATATTTTATGTATTTATGAAAAATGTTGCCAACACTCCTAACTTTCTTTTTTGTAACCAAAACAATTAGCTTTTCTCTTACTTCTATGAAAAATCAAAACTAGAGGGGCTACAAAGTCACAAAGATGTTCCAGTGATGTTGCATAAATTTGACCTTCTCGTTTGTTTGCAGTTCCAAGGGGTTTGATTGTTGGCAACAAAAATAAAAGTTTTGTCCTCTGTATAATTATTCTTTTTTTTACCAAACTTTGTGGTTGCATGTATGAAAGTATTTAGATGGTCTGCAGGACAAATCCTATTTATTAAGCACTTTTGTACATTTCCAGGTCAAAAATAAATTTAGAGTGCTTCGCGCACTTTGATATGTATTTCTTTAAATTTTTTACTTAGTTTTTGAACTTGGAAAACTTGGTATCCCCGTATTTAAGAAGAATTATTACATTTTTGGTTTATTTTCTTCCAAGTTATAACTTATTATTTTTAACAACCTGGCTTTTTATGTGAAACGCCAATTAAATTGGAAAAATCGTCCTTCAAGCCTTGTGATACTTAATTTATTATATCATTATACAAAACATACATATTCTTAGAAATTCATATTTTCCAAGAGTTGGTTATTAAGATAAAAGATAACATGTATACTGAAACTGTAAACATACAAATTTAAACACAAAAATTGCAGAAATTTTTTTTAATTACTTTTTTTCAGGAGGTTCAAAATAAGCTCACCTCTCAGTGAAATATTTATAATTTTGACGCAAATCCTTGTGGCATATTTAACACAGTTTTTCTGCTTTAAACCTCATAAACATCATAAAACAAAGCCTTTAGTTATGTAATTCAATGTGTTTGTTTAGCCAGATAAGTCCTTGTTGATCCCTTGAACATTGTTGATGAATTAGTTTAATAAGATTAATTGATTCTTCTGCACTGTTTGATGTTATAAAATTATGAAGTTACAAAGTTGTACACTTGTACAAGATGTACAGGTTGTTCAAAATGTATAAACTGTAAAACAAGTACACTTTGTGAGAGATTGGACAATTTGTGAAGAGTGCATGCAGTGTACTGCAAGCTGTAAGGAGTGTATGTACAAGCTGTATAGAGTGTATGTACTTGCTCTAAAGAATGTATGTACAGGCAGTAAAGAGTGTATGTACAAGCTGTATATAGTGTATGTACAAGCTGTAAAGAGTATATGAACACTGCTGTAAAGAGTCCATACACTAGCTGTAAAGATTGTATGTACTTGCTGAAAAGAGTGTATGTACATTGTACATGCTGTAAAGAGTGTATGTACATTGTACATGCTGTAAAGAATGTATGCACACGCTTTAAAAATTGTATGTGCAAGCTGTAAAGAGTGTATGTACAAGCTGTAAAGAGTGTATGTACAAGTTTTATTGAGTGTATGTACAAGCTATAAACTGTACCAACTGATCGTGACAAATGATTGTTGAAGCTAAACAGAGAAATCTCATTTATCCTCATTAGTTAATAGAAACAAGAAAACAATCCGGAAATGATCAAGCAAGAAAAAAATACAATGATATAATGTAAAGAAAGAGTAAATCAACCCTAAAAAAGGGAAAGTTTATAAGAATTTCACTTCTAACTTTTAGTTCAGAATTGATAATGATTTTATCTTGTTTCAACTTATCACTCAAAAATGTGCCTAAAAACATAATTTATAATAATGTGTGTATTTTGTACCACTTTGTGACCTTGAAGCTCTTCTGGTTTTGAATATATAAGAAAAACAAATTTAAATGGTTACATATTAGAATTTCAAAAACGTTTTAGTTCTTGACAATTGCAATAGCTATTCAATAAGAGGTATAATAATTGAGAACATATAAAATTAAAATATCATAATTCAGCATAAAGGTGAAGCTAATCCCTTTAAAAAGACAGATTGTCAGTAAAATGAAAAAATATCTGATTGACCTGTAAGGCTGTAGTGACAGGGAAAGTGGCAAACATTGCAATAATAAGATTTTGCAAAATGTCGTAAAATAAATTGGAAAATGTACCAGAGACTGAAAACAAAATCTAACTTTTGGATTTTTAAAGTATTTGGCGCATACCCTTTTTTTAATTGAGAAATATATTGTTTGGATAGATTCATAACCTAAACGTTACTCTAAAATTAAAACGTTAGTTTTGCATTTTTATATTCTTAAATTCTTGCATCGGATTTCTCTGAAACATGGGAACCTTTCCGGATTAAACTTTCAACTAAATTTTTAGAACAAATATTTTATAAATATTGTATCAGATTAAATGTGTAACAAAATCAGAAAAAGATTGACTGAAAAATAGACAATAGGAGAAGAATGTATAATTTGTGGTACATCTCTGGTAAGACTCTATAACCTCATAAGTTTTCTAGTTTTAATTTTATGAAGAAATGTCAATGCTTCTATTAAAGGAATTATGGATTGAATATATGTATATATAAACCAAAATTAATTTGTCTCCAATGATCGTACACACTGCAATATTTCTGCAAATTACTGATGCCGAATCTTTACTATTTAGAAAACCTTTGTTTCAGTTATAAATTAATACAGAGTGCAAGATCAAAAAGAAATTGTTTGGACAGAAAATTATTTTGTTTTTCAGATCAAACCCAGTTTTCAAAATTTTCTAGTAAAGCAAAATTATTACTTTTTTTTTGAGAGTTTCCAAAATAAAAAAAAATTGTTGTTAATTGATTGGTATGATTATGTTTTCTATTTGATAAAAAGGTATACTTAATAAAAATTTATCTCCATTCTCTACAGATTTTGCATCAAGTTCTCTATTTTAATCGATCTTTATAGTTTAATCATGTATTCATCTTATTTTAATATTCTTTTTTTTTCACTCCATTTAATACTTAATTTACTTATGTGTAGTCTTAAGTTATTAAATTTAAATTGAATTTAGGAAAAAGATTTAAAAGAAATTTAAAAGTTTTAGTATATTTCAAACTAGAATCCAACAAGTTTTATTCAATGTTCAGCATTCTTTTCATGTATTCTATATTCTGTGTTCTGTATCCTTTATCCCATATTCTGAATTCTGTATATTTCAGTAAACCCTGGCATGGGACTTAAACTGTAATTTAGTGAGAGCTATGTAACTCTGAGCTTACCAAGCTATATTTTAGCATACCGAACACAAAATAAAGTTTATTTGATACAAGGCTTTGAGCCCTTAAGACCCTATCATGATGGGGGGGGGGGCTCCCCCAGAATTTAAGGGTTTTTTCTCCACAACTTAGGAATGGCTCACACTAAAACGCTTCAAATCAAAAATAGGCCATAGTTTTAATTCTTTTTTAAAAGTTCTTACAAATTAGATGCAATAACATGCATTACATGTAAACATTTTTTCAAAGTGAATTATATATTTTTACTACTCAAAATTAAAATTTTTTTAACACCCTTCCTAGCATCCTATTTCCTTCAAAGTTAGAGGTATAACTTTTTTTAATGAGCGTGGAAAGTTGGACTACAGACTACAGGACATTTATCACTCTTCCCTATCTCAACTCTAAAAGTGAGGAAGAAAACAAACAAATCTATATACTACAAAAATTGCCTAATTGGAATATGGGTTATGACCCCAGGTTAAATTCAAAACTCAGGAATAATCCCAAACAAATTTTGTGAAAAACAAAAAATTTCTTTGACCAAGGTACTCAACTCTAAATAAAACTTCCTTTTTATGTTACCTATATGAGAAGCTTTTGTAAAAAGACTGACAGTTCAAGGTCCGGATCATGCAGCTGAATCATGAATATGATCATGAAATTATTGAGTTGATTTTTGATATGGATACTATAAAAATAGACCAAATCAACAAGAGCATAACATAACCTTCAGGCTTTAAGTATTCAAAGGGGAAAAAATATATGAAAAACAAGAAAAAAATATAAAGAAAATACTAAAATCAAATTTAGATCTGTATTTTTGCAAACCCAAAAACATTGGTTCTGCTTTCAATATTTCATGATTTAACTTTCAAATTTTACAAATATTTTAACATTTGGTACATAAGAAACCGAATTAATTGAAAAATAATTCCTTGAAGACAAGTGTTAAATTT